TTTTTAATCTGTTCAGAGTACTTCATATTTATTGGGTTAGTGAAACTTTTGTCAGACTGGTAATATGCAGTGCACAGAAGGAATGAGCAGATTAATTGTGTAGATGCTAAGGTGAGAGGACTGTGAAGAGATAGATCGCACTAAGAAGGGGAAACAATAATATCAGGTGACAGCAGCACATACTTTGTATTAATTCTCAAATCATCAATATGATTTATGGAAATATGTAGCTTGCCCTCTTATCCTAGACATCATTTTATTTTAGAACTGTAATAATAATTCTTAAATGCTATTGATAGTCTGGTTTTGCACATGACTGATTTCTATCTTGGCATGGTTTTTATAATTCCAACACTCCTTACCGATATGGATTTGGATTTTTTAAATATTTTTTTAAATGTCCAAATCAGGGGCACCTGGGTAGCTCAGCCATTTAAGCATCTGCCTCCCAGTAAGGTTATGATCCCAGAGTCCTGGGATGGAGCCCTCCATCGGGCTCCCCGCTTGGCAGGGAGTCTGCTTCTCCCTCTGCCTCTCCCCCTACTCATGCCCTCTCTCTCATACTCTCTGAAATAAATAAATAAAATCTGTGGTGCCTGGATGGCTCAGTTGTTAATCGACTGCCTTGGGCTCAGGTCATGATCCCAGAGTCCTGAGATCTAGGCCTGCATCGGGCTCTCTACTCAGCAAGACTCCTGCTTCTCCCACTCCCACTCCCTCTGCTTGTGTTCCCTATCTCGGTATGTCTCTCTCTGAAATACTATAAAGAAAAGGGAATTAATCAAATGAGTTCATTTATGTAAAAGTAGTATGATATATTACTGAAAAATGGACCCCATGTGACACATATGGAAGAACACAGGACTGCAAAGGTATGGACAATTCAGAGTTGTGTGGCCCTTAACCAGTTTCTCAGCCTCAACCAGTTTCCTCCTCCACAGATGGGAAAAATAATACAAGTTTTACATACATTTTAATATTATTTCAGAACAAAATAAGAATGATGATGTATTCATTTTGAAATTTGTGAGGTGCTACTCAGATGTAAATGTTATACACACAGGTGAAAACAAAAAATATTTTAATTATAATTTTATCAGGTATAACTTACCAAGCCATAAAACTTTCAGAAGTTGATGTCTGGGATATCAGTTTTTTTGTCACTTTTATTCAAATACTGATACCATATTGAAGACATTATAACAAAAAATGGAAGGTCATTTTTTATTTTTGAAAGATTGGTATAGGTGTAAAACTGATCTTAATTGTTTGAAGACTTTACTTGGCAGTACTCCATAAGTTCACTCAAGAATACATGGAGACATGGAAATCATGGGTCTTACTATTTTTAGTCACTAAAATTCCTTTAAGAATCTAATGAAAGCTAAGGGTCCTCTTCCAGAAAAATATTCCTATCATCTGCGGATGGATTTTGCAAGGAATTTCAAAGGGGTTCATATCCATGGATCCTAGTAAAAACCACATCTTCACCTTAGATTGACGTCTAGTAGACTTAGGAGACTTCGGTAGACTTTAGTGAAATGGTCTCCTCCCTTCCAGATTTCTGTTTTCCAGATTATCATAGCCTTCTCTTAAAGACTATTATAGAATAATATATAGAAGTTTTCCTGCCCAGCTGCACCTCCACCCATTCTGTATTCCATCTAGCATCTGTCTCTTAAACAGTCTTTGTTTCTGCATTCAGTCTACCCACCATTGCGTTCCCCAACATTCTCTTTAAGATTTGGTTTATTTATTTGAGTGAGAGAGAGTGCATATAAGCAGGGGAAGGGACAAAGGGAGAGGAGAATCAGACTCCCCACTGAGCAAGGAGCCTGATGCGGGGCTCCATCCCAGGACCCTGGGATTCTGACCTGAGGCGAAGGCAGGCACTTAACTGACTGAGCCCCCCAGGTATCCCTTTTCCCCAGTATTCTTCATCAGTGCTCACTCTCAGGGGAGGCAGTAAGAGAGGGAAGGGCTCTGAGCCAAGCTAACAAATACAAAAAGCAGAGGCTCTGGGCAGAAATGGAAACTGCAAGTATGTAGCAGCAAAGCTGGAATAGTCTGAAAAACCAAACTGTTGAGATTTTTACCAATTTATAGTTATACCAATCCTAAACACCAAACATATGAAATTATTTTTTAAAAGATTTATTTATTTATATATTTATTTAATTTAGAGAGAGGGAAAGCACAAGAGCAGGAGAGGCAGAAGGAATGGGAGAGAAAATCTCAAGCAGACTCCGTGCTGAGTGTGGAGCTGGACACAGGGCCCGATCCCAGGACCCTGAGATCATGACCTGAGCTGAAACCAAAAGTCAGACACTTAGTGGACTACACTACCCAGGCACCCCAAATATTTGAAATTCTTTGTACAGGATTCATTTGTAGACAGCTTTTTATTGAGATTCTCTCAAATTTGACCATTCTCCACTTCTAATAATATAATATGAAAGTGATTTTTAAACCGTAAAGGATTAAAACAGTGTAGGGAATATCATGTTGGATTATGACATGATTGGATGTGATGTGAAGAAAAGTTGCACAGCATCACATCCGCTGCATGAAATGTCAGCCAGATGGAAAAACAGACCAAAGGTTTTTTTTCTCTTATAGTCCATCTAACAACTGTGTATTTTTCCAACTTTGTAGAATTTTAATTCTCAGATTTTCTGCTTTTGCAGTACATCCTTAGCCTATTCGAGTCTTAATTTGATGTCATTTCACAAATGGCTCTCGATACTCTATCTTCAGATACAACCAGCTTACATAAGTCAGCATATGTTCACAACAACCACAACAAAATCCAGGGCAAATATTTAAAAATGCAGACATATTCACAGAATACCAGAAGAGCATGCTCTTATTTTGTAACTTTAGCAACAATCGCTCTAGATCTCTAAAAGTGTTACTGTTAGAAAATGAGAGTAAGGACGTATAGGTTCTTCATGAGCCAGGTGTAGTACTATTTTGGAATTTTGAGTTTTATTATCAAATGTTGGTTTAAGTTTTTATATTCTAGTGCCAACATGATCCATGACAATCTTTTCTTTGAGGTAGCTTTAGTTTTTTTATTATTTTAATTTGAGTACTGTTGACACAGTGTTACATTAGTTTCAGGTGTACAACTTAGTGATTTGACAAGTTTATACATTATGCTATGCTCACCACAAGTGTAGCTGCCATCTGTCCCATTACATCACTATTACAATATCATTGACTGTATTCCTTATGCTGTGCTTTTTATTCCCATAACTTACTCATTCCATAACTGGAGGCCTGTAGCTCTCTCTCCCCTTCACCCATTTTGCCCAACCCCCCACTCCCTCCCCTCAGTTTTTATATCCCTCCCCTCTGTTCTGATTCTGCTTTTTGTTTATTCATTTTTTTTTTTTTTTAGATTCCATTTTTGAGTGGATTCATTTGGTATTTGGCTCTCTCAGTCTGACTTATTTACTTATTTCACTTACCATAATACCTTCTAGGTCCACCCGTGTCATCTCAAATGGCACAGTCTCATTCTTTTTTATGGATGACAATCTATTTTTAAAATAATATCTAGGAGAAGGTAGCAAACTACTTAATAATGAATGTGAGGTATTGAATTAGAGTATTATTTTGTGCTTTTAAAAGTATTATTGATATTGCAAGGTGAATTTTTGCAGTAATATTATGATGCTGATAAGCAACATTGATTTTAAGATTTCCACATTTTATAAGCGGAAAACAAAAGGCCCAAATATTTAAGGTGTGGAAATTCTGCTGAAGCAGCATTAACAGTGAATTAGATTCCCATTAGGTGGTGTTCAGTGAGAGGGGATGTGCATATGCAGGGTTTGAAGAAATTTACAAGAAAGAGAAACATTTTTCATTCAGAATGCCAACAGGCTTCATTTGGTATCAGAAGCCTGGCTTTCAATGTTCACTGTGTGAGCTATCATCACCACTCAGGATTCTCACTTTCTTAAAATGCAGTAATATACTTTTGATAGACAATTCAGAGAAATTAATAGCAAATGATAGAGAAATTGCTCTTTTCTAGAGGGAGAAAAGACATTTGATGCAGAGAAACAATGAGGACATGGCTATGAAATTTAAGGCTACTACGTACTGTATTTTCAGTATATTTTTTATTAAGCTTTCATTTACTTGTGTCAAATTAAAGTCCCTCGTCTTAGCAGATTAAAACCTTTTATGATCCTTTTGATATGGAACTATTATTTTTCACTTTTCTTTATCTTGCAGACCCACTGATAAATTCTTCAGTTTCTTCAGGCCACATGTCCTCTTTTAAATTTTAGAACCATTGAATTTAGAGAAACAGCATTCTAAAGAAAGAAGTTAGAGTGTAATACTGTAGTTTGTCAACATAAAGAAATATATTAGAAAGCAAAATGATCTTGATAGGCTTTGAAGAGAAAGATCTTTGTGGGCATTTAAAACACCAAGGAATTACAAGGCCATGTTGAAGAGCACATTAGTTAAATCGAAGGAGTCAAAGCAAGATACCTTTCATTACTGACATGCCATCTACTGAAAAGAAGTAGAAGTTAGTCCGAAGTAGCTAACAGTGAGCCCCGGGTACTAACTTCCCTGAAGCACTGAAATAGGAAGGGGTGGAAGAAGGTTGTGAAAGAAACCCTCAGGGATTCCTCCTTTTTTCCCTTGTGATCCCTTTAATCCTTGAATTGTCAAACCACATGGAAAATAATAGAGCTGCGCAGTTCTGAGACTTAAGTGATATTATCTTTTTAAAAGAAAATATTAGGTCTTTTCACATCTCTGGACAGGAACAGGGCATGCATTTGGTGTAGATAAGAGTAACCTGGAACAAGAGATGCATGTTGTTTTTTTCGGTTTGAATGTATTATTATCTATGAGTAAGCAGGCTGCACCCAGTAAGAAAAAAAAAATTACAACCCATACTTTATTATTCTATTATTTTTTACTTATTTATTTTATTATTTATTAATATTTTTTTTCCTTTTTGAAAACAGATGATTCAACGAGAAGCAGACGTAAAAAGTAAGGTAACCGCAGTGGCGCTTACAGACTCTGTTCACAACGTGTGGCATCAAGAAGCGGGCAAAACGATTCGAGAATGGATGAGAGAGGTGAGATGAGATTTTTTACAGTGACCAGATGAATGAGTGTGAGCCTTTATATCTTGCACCCCCACCAGTTTATATCATCTCCCCCCCCCAAGACTCCCTTTCTAGAGGCAGAACATTTAGCGAGAAGAGAAAAAGTAGACATGGTTGAAATACTAATAGAAAACCCTTCTGAAGAACAAACGTGTTTCGTAAAGCCCTTCTCCCTCTTTGGGCATTCTGTAGAATGTTGTCTATGCGTGCAGTATATGGTAGCAACTTCACTGGAAGAAGGTCATGATCTGTTAGGAGATATTATTCCCTGAGTTTTAATTTTTCCACCAGCCATTTAGCATGGGTGCTGCCCACTGACAAGAAAGAAGCATAAGGTACCATTGGTTCTCATCCTTTCCTTGAAAGGTGATCAGTATGTGCCACTCTTAAATGGGTTGGCTCAGGGGCACCTGGGTGGCTCAGTGGGTAAAGCCTCTGCCTTCGGCTCAGGTCATGATCCCAGGGTCCTGGGATGCAGCCCCGCATCGGGTTCTCTGCTCAGCAGGGAGCCTGCTTCCTCCTCTCTCTCTGCCTGCCTCTCTGCCTACTTGTGATCTCTGTCTGTCAAATAAATAAATAAAATCTTAAAAAAAAAAAAAAAAATGGGTTGGCTCACTACCACCAGTAGCGGGAGAAGTAAAAAGCTGGAACAGTGTTTCGTCAGACTGAACCTAGGGCTCCAAGAAACCCAAGAGCTGGTCATAGTCCAGCCTTAGGCTAAGCTTCTTTTTGCCCTAAGGGCTGGTGAGCCTGAAAATGATCGTGACTTACTGAACATGCTCCCATTTTTTTTTAACTTTCAACCCATTATTGCTTTTGCTTTGGTTGTAGATGTACAGCTGAAACTTCTTTTTTATTTTTATTTACCTTTCCGATATTATAAATAATTGACATCATCTACACCGTGCTTTATCAGTTGTTTGGTCAGATCATATATTTCTATAAATGAGAACTAGTTGACCTTCCTGATTTTCTCCCACTCTCTCTTGATAGAATACCCAGATATTTATCCAGCTGGCCTCTCACCATAGGTATGGTGGGTAACTTCTAACCAGCCCTTACAGTGCACTCTAAGGACCAAAGAGTTAATGTTTGGAAAGAGTTTTGAATAAAGTTTTGAAGGACTAAGCTGTATAATCCCATAATGGAATAATCATAATATTACCAGTCTGTTTTCACTGTCGTTATTATCCATTAGAAAAGGTACATTCATCATGCAAAAGTCTAGAATGTATTTACTCTAGTCCTCATAGTATTATAAATAGATAATAAAGGTGGGCTTTTAATCTGTTCTAACATCCTGGTGTTTTCTGACCACGTTGCTTTGCATAGTTTTCCTTTCACAGTTTATCTACATCCTCAGTGGTCTTTTCCAAGGGCCTATTTTTTTTTTTTAAGAGAAATTTTGCATATTTCCTACCTATACATTTTTCATGGTATTTATCTGTCCAAGTGGATATGTAAACAGCTCCCAGCATTATGTAAAGTAGTAAGGTTGAATAAATGCACCTTTTCCCCACATATAACCAATATGAAATTTACTATTTGCCCAAACTAGGAATACCCCGGTTCATCATGTTTGAATTGGGAATTCTTCATGTTTCATTCCAGGTGGCAAATATAGCAAAATTTATTTAGGTTTATTTCTTTTATAAAAATTTGTATCTCAAATTCCAGTTAGTTAACATACAGTGTTATATTAGTTTCAGGTGTACCATAGAGTGATTCAGCATTTCCATACATCATCTTCTGCTCATCATGACAAGTGCCCTCCTTAATCCCCATCACCTGTTTACCCCATTCCCGCCACCCGCCTCCCTCTGGTAACCATCAGTTTGTTCTCTGTAGTAGATTTGCTTCTTTACTCTTTGTAACTAAAACTGGACTAATGCCACCTTCAAAAATCAGAATATATTAATTTGTGCATTTTTTTCCATTAACTGAAATAGACAATAATTGAATTCCTCTTAATTCAATGAAAGCTCTCATTAATTTCTTTGCAAGTATAGGTTTTATAAATCTTTTTAATATTATATAATTTTATAGACTACCTACTTCTTGAATAGTTCTTTTATTCCCTCAGTTATGCCTGAGGCATGAAACAGCATGAAGAGTTTTTTATTATGACATACCAAAATTCAGACCCCCAACTCAATCACTTACCTAACTCTGTAATCTTGGGTACATTGTTTAATCTCTTTGAGATTCATTTTTTTCATCTATGAAATCTAATACTTACCTTGCAGATATGGTTGGGAAATAACATATGAAAAGAAACAGCATGGGGGTATCCGGGTGGCTCAGTCATTAAGCATCTGGCTTCAGCTCAGGTCATGATCCCAGGGTCCTGGATTGAGCCCTGCATCAGGGTCCCTGCTCATCAAGAAGCCTGCTTCTCCCTCTTGTATTCCCTGCTTGTATTCCCTCTCTCACTGTCTCTCTCTCTGTCAAATAAATAAATAAGATCTTCTCAAAAAAAGAGGAAACTGCATGGACACGGGCATTGTAAGGAAATTCAATAAATCATAGCTCTCATTGTTGTTACCTTCTTGCCCCCCAAGTAACATAAAATATATTGATTGTATTCTTTTGTCTTATGGATGATTTACATATTCCATTTTCAAAATATCTTACCAAAGGGTAGTAATTCAGACCAAAGAGTAGGAAGAACTGGGTTTTGATAACGATTCTAGCTTAGTCATTCACTGGGTAAAGGAGTAACTGACAGCTAACATATCCCAGGTACCCTACACTGAGGCTTATTGTCTTGGGAAAGCCACTCCATCATTCTGAGCCTGTTTCTTAATTGTGAGTTAGAGATAATAATTCCTATTCCATCTACTTTGTGAACTATTATGAGAATCAGAGGTGACAATCAAGAAGAAAATCCCTTGAAAAGCAAATGGCGCTTCATAAAAAAATAAAATGCATTGTTATAAAAAACACTGTGGTATCCCAGAGATAAAAATTAGTAGATCGGGCTGCCTGGGTGGCTCAGTGGGTTAAAGCCTCTGCCTTCGACTCAGGTCATGGTCTCAGGGTCCTGGGATTGAGCCCCGCATCAGGCTCTCTGCTCGGCAGGGAGCCTGCTTCCTCCCTCTCTCTCTGCCTGCCTCTCTGCCTACTTGTGATCTCTGTCTGTTAAATAAATAAATAAAAATCTTTAAAAAAAAAATTAGTAGATCATCACTGATAGAGCTTTGAAATGATCCCCGCTCAGAGAGCCTCTCTAAAACAAGAAGAGAAAGGGAGACTATGGGAGCCTATGCCAGATATCCTTGTAGGAACTCCCCAAAATGTGTGACCCCCTCGTAGAGAATTTAGTGTGTTTTGGCAAGATTAAAATCTAGTGTTTGTTTCCAGCACTTAGGATAAAACTTTGTCCCCTTTTCTTTCCCCATTTTTAGTCTTTGTCCACTCTGCAAGACCCCTTGAAATAAAGAAGAACAAACAGTCCTGGGTTCAGCAAATAGAAAGAACTATTGTCTTGAGCAGGAGTGTTGGGAGGGGGTTGTGGAAGGGTAACTTGTGTCCCTCAGCATCCCACTTCCGACCACCGCCTACTCTGGCTTTAATTAGAATCAGCTCAAAATCTGAGATATTTTGCAAATATGTCAAGAAAAACAATTTAGCTAAACTGTAGTGTTGTCCATAAAAGTAGTAGTCTGGCTGCAGATGAAGCCTCAGTGTTTGGGGCCTCTTAATGATTAGCTCCAATATTTGACCAAACACCACTTTAAACTTGGAAGTCAGACAGGGTTCAAATTGCTCAGTCATTCTTATTATACTGCAAATTTGTAAAACTCCTTTTTGTTCTGTAAGCATATTTAAGTTAATGTGATCAAGGTATCGATGTTAACTACTCATCTACTATAAAAAGCTGATATACTTTTTAAAATGTCAGCAATTAGCAAACAGAAGATTAAGTACTATATTCTTATATTATATAGTATTAAAAGAACAATCTCTTTAAAAAAAAAAAAAAAAGAAAAGAAAGGAAGGAAGAAAGAAAGAAAGTCAGTCAGAGAGGGCTACTTTTGGCAATTACTCTGAGTGAAAACTACTCCCAAGCAAAAGACCAAGGATACATACTTCACCATGACTCATGAGGAAAGGTACAAAATAGCCTAAGGCAGATCCTAAGAGACCCGTCCTTCCTCCAGCTCCAGGACTGTAAAGTGGATAAGGGTGGACATGCAGGACGTTATGCTAGGTGAAATAAAAAACCAGACACAGAATGAAAAATACCACATGATCACATGATTACATATGGAATCCAAAAAGGTTGAATACATAGAGAATAGAATAGTGATTACCAGTGGGGTAAATAGGGAGATGTTGGTCAAAGAGTACAAAGTTGCATTTATGAAGGATGCTTAAGTGTAGATGTATGGCATGATGACCATATTCAGTACTGAATTGAATATTGTAAATTGGCCAAGAGAATAGTTTGCTGGTTCTATCACAGCACACACACACACACACACACACACACACACACACACACAAACAGTAACTATGTGAGGAAATAATTAGCTTGACAGCATTAATCATTTCATGATGTATATGTGTATCAAATCATCATGTTGTACACCTTAAGTACATAGTTTAAAAAAAGGCTGATTGGGTAAATGTCATTTCCTGACATATACCTGGCCTCTGAAAGTCTCCAACCAAGCCAGATTTATGGTTCTGCATAACTGTCGTGAACCCTTACCCAGCATCATGAGTTCAGAGTGGCAGTCCCCGAAATACAACCCAGTAAATCGTAGTAGCTCTTGTCTGAGGACACGATGCCTTCCATTTTGAAGCTCTATCTCTACGGCGTTGGTGGATCTCAGACAAATGAAATAAAAATGAGTAAGAACCAAAATTCAACCAGGACAGCAAATATGTCTCAAAGTACCTTGTATAGGATACCTACTATGTATTTTTCTCTCTAAACGTAGTACACTGAGTTTTAATCTTCTTATTAAAAATTTTAATCCATTTCATATCTGCACTGAAACATCGTCCAGCCTTGGTTCAAAGGTCAAAGAGGGCCACTCAGGACTATGGCCTACAGGCACTTCTAGTCTATGTTAATAGTTCCCAGCATTTTGGGTTTCACAAGGAAGACAATTTACAACCACAAAAAAACTGTTTAAGTTTGTAATTTCAGAATTAAAAGACCTTTAATTGAGAACACATAACTCTAAGAAACACTATGTAGCACATATTTCCCCCTCATACCCAGAGAAACTTTAATTCCATTATCCATCCCAAATTCTTGGCTCTGGCCAAGGGCTTCTTTCTCTCTGCTTGTGGCTGGGATGAGACGGGGCTACATCTGAGGCTCAGACACACTCTCTTGATCTAGGACTGCATGCCTTGCTGTCCGCTCAGGGCATCTGAGAATAAGATCTCCAGGGGTTTGGGACACACTCCAGCATGGTTTGACTTTAGGTAGGTCAACTGCCTCATCAGCTGCCTCTGTTGCCTTCCTGGACACTATGCTAGTGTTCATCTCAGCTGAAGAACTGGGATCGAGGCAGATGGAGTCACTGAGAAGAGGGATAGAATAAATATTAGAAAAACAGAGAGATGTGGTTTTTAAACTAGAGAAATGCATCAGAATAGGAAGTTGGATTTGATGCAGTGGAATTTCAGATTAATTTCAGATTAAATTCTTGGGTAAGGGCTGTACGTCTTTCTCATATTTCTTTCTTTACATGTATTTCTCAGCACATTTATGTTATTTTATTTTGTTATACTCTGTCATGTGGCACATTTTTATCTTGCTCTGCCCTTTTCTCTATATATTTTTCCAGGGGGATGAAAATGTTACATATACATGTACACACATGTACATGACACTCATCAAACTTATTATATCGATCCTTTACAATCCTGCACAGGCACTTTGTCATTCCAGAGAACTTTTGGCCATATTCAGCTTAAAGGGTGTTTATTTCTATCCTATTTTTATGGGAAATCAAAGCCTAAACATCTGCCTGGATAAAAAATGAAATTTCAGAATCATAAGTGTTAACCTGTCTTTTGCTTTAAATGTTTGAGTTAAAGGTGACCTGGATAAAATCCATTTTATTCAGCTTTTTAAAGTCAGTGATAACGAGCTAGAAAATGATTAATCGCCAACATATTGTAACGTACCATCATTTTTATTAATACTAGAAATATCCTATAAGACGTAGTTTTACATATGGGAGGTGTAGGTGAGCAGTATTAAGACTGACATATCACCTGGGTAATAGCCGACTTTCATCAGATTTGGAGGTACTACTAGGATGAATAATAATTAAAATATATACCTAATCGCTGCCTGTCTGTCGGTAGTGCTAATTGCTGTCATTGAAAAGACTGAATTGTTTAAGAGAAAGAGAGAAAAAGAGAAAGTCATTCTTCATTGACACTATCTCCCTGTATCATTGGGAGCCTATTTTTAGTACCTATAGAAGTCATGATTTTTGAATTTATTAGGGTCTGTGATGAATGATAAAACAAATCATCCATTTACATATCTTGACACTGCTTTGGAGAATACTTATTTCTTACAAGCAAGTGTCACATTGTATATAAAAGCTGGCTAATTGTGTGCTAATCTTCTGCATTATCTAGAACTCTGTGATGTGGTATTCTATCAATAGTAATATTAATTTTACTTACTTCAAATGTATGAAATATCTCTGAAATCATATTTCTTTTATAATTTCTGCTCTCTCACATTGTATAATTTTTGCATTCAACTGCTAATTAAGATTGGGAGTGCAAGTTATAGAATACATATTCACTTTAAACCATCAAGCTTTTGTAATACATAAGAATACTAATATTTTATCCATTTTAAATGTAAAAAGAAAGAAAGCATTTAAGAACATTACTAGATGTTGTGTTTGTTTTCATGGTTTTTTTTTTTTTCCACACAGTTCAATAGTTTCATTGATCTACTGTTTCTTACAAAAATCTGCCATGCTTTGTGAACTTCACTTTCTAATCTCATACAGCAACCCTTCCTTTATGTTATTCCTGCTCTCCCTGGTCCCAGAACAGTAGGGATGCCTTGACAAATCTATTCAAAAGCCATTCCTCGGCCTTTATTGGTGGGGACTGGGGCCTTTGAAATTCTCTCCTCACTGCAACACAGCTGACATCTTCTTCCAGACAGAATGAATTAAGGAAATACAATAAGACACTTGATCTACCAGTCAAGGATCTTTCCACAGTGAGGACGGATTCCATGGTGCACAACCAGGGCAGCAAGCATCTAAAAATACACAATACATGCTTGTTTACCAGAATAGCAATCAGCGATTTTTCCAACATGATTGATAGGATGATTTCTTTTAAAATAAAATCTGTCTAGAAATGCAGTGTGTGTGTGTGTGTGTGTGTGTGTGTGTGTGTGTGTGTTAGAAATTTTTAAAAAGCCATATGAGGTTAATCACATTTTTTAAGCCAGCCTTTAAATACAGACTTAAAATGTATGGAAAGGATATAAATTATTTTTATTTCATTTGTCTGAGTGGTAAGTCATCATTATCCTAAAGATTGATTTTAATATTGAAGGCTTTGTGTCCTGAAACACACAGCTACAATTCACTAGGTTGTGTTTCTTTTGAACTACTTGATATAGCCTTCATTGAACAAGGTTGAAGTAAAAAAGGAAAGAAAGTATATTTAAGGAGTAACTGCAAAATTTATTTCTTCTAGTATTACTGAGACAAAGACTGTAGTTTAAAAATAAAACTATTCTTTCACATGATCAAATTAATATTTATTTCCATCTTAAAGTTAAAAATTGATGTCCTTTTCTGTTTCCCTTAATTATAATCTTAGCCTTTTCTTAGAAACATATCATGGTTCATAGGAGGTTACGTGTCTTCCTAATTTCAGCACAGATAATTTGCTGAATTGTCAAAGATAAACTTTTTTCCACAGCCACAGTGGTCATGAATAATACTGTTTATATAAGAAAATCTTTTACAGTGCATGGAAAATAAATTGGATATACTTCTAGTGTCGATTATATAGGATAAATTAATCTCTACAGCCTAAAAAGTTTATCTTGGTTTAAAAATGTTTCAACAGAAAATTGTCTCTCTTGCATTGCAGAATTGTTGTAATTGGGTCTCTAGCTCAGAACCATTAGACACATCAGTGGAGTCCATGCTGCCTGATTGTCCCCGAGTCTCAGCAGGTATGTGTTTGATGAGAGATGTATGGGGTTTTTTTAGGGTAAAAAAATATGGTAATGAAATGTGGAATTCTATTTTGTGAATTAAGCATGTTGTTCTGCCTTGAATCTTTGAATGAATTATTGGTAACATACGGCATGGGTCTGATCTGCTACCAGAAATTTGTTGAGTGACTGAAAATAGTAACTAACACATTCAGTGAAGATGAATAGGTGAAGCAATTTGAGAGTAATATAGACAGTTGCTGCTAAAGCTTTGGGAGACAAGATGTACATAAATAAAAAGTCGATTAAGACAAGGACTAGGTAGCTAAGCAGGATCTCTGAAAATTTGTCTCGCATTGAATACCAACTCAAGGATACAACAGGCAGTCAAGGCTATGAGTTCAGAGAGATGAGATTGGTGTGGCCTAGAGTCTTTAAAAAATTTTTTCACGCAAAAGATTTTGGCTGGACCTTGTGCATTTGGTAGGATGTGGATTCTAGAAAGATGTGCAGGATTGGCATTTTAGGCAAAAGAAACAGAGCAATGTAAGGAATAAGGGCTGGAATGGATCTGAAAGTGTTCATAGGAAACAAAGGCAAGATGGGCCTGCCTCTTGAAAGGGGGAGTGGGGAGTACCTCAGGAAGCAAGTGGGCTTAGGAAGACAGTTAAAGGATGGAATGGCTTTCCAGCCTACAGAGTTTGTACTTCAGTCTCTGATCTCTAGAGAAGAGGAGTGACATTTTTGGCTGCTTTCTGATTTTGGCTTTCACAATTCCCAGCCAGTTTGGATAGTAAACACAGAATGAGCAGTGGTATCTGGTTATGGCTGCAGAACAGAAATGGGCTTGCTTTACCCAGAGATGTCAGAGAATGAGCAGAAACAGAAATGGCTTGCTTTACCCAGAGATGTCAGAGAATGAGCAGAAGTTTTGAGAATGAACTACTCCATACAAAAATCATAGGAGGGGGGCTCCTGGGTGGCTCAGTGGGTTAAGCCTCTGCCTTCAGTTCAGGTCATGATCTCAGGGTCCTGGGATCGAGCCCCACATTGGGCTCTCTGCTCAGCAGAGAGCCTGCTTCCCCCGCTTCTCTCTGCCTGCCTCTCTGTCTACTTGTGATCTCTCTCTCTGTTAAATAAACAAATAAAACCTTTGGGGAAAAAAAAAGAAAAATCATAGGAGGTAGTTGATCACTAAGCCTTTAGAGTTGTAGACATGTCTGCATATTTGAAGGAAATGATTTGGAGAATAGTTCAAATATTAGGTAAAGAACAATTACTGTAACTATGTTTCATTATCACTAATACCTAAACTTGAACTCAGCTTCACTATCATTATAGCTAAACTTTTCAGGTCTTTTGGTTAAGAAACATATATGCTACTCTAAAAATATATATAAATATATTTAAATTTATAAATATATATACACACATATGTGTGTATGTATGAGTATGTATTATATATGTATATATTATAATATATATAATACATTACATATGCATATATAATATATGTGTATTAAATAATTGGTTATTTTTATTAGCAGTAGTTATGCTCTATAAAATCACTGAGAATGCTGAATTAGTGAGTACAGGGTTAGGTTCCTACAAGCTTCTGATCACAACGTTTTCATCAACCAACCAATATATAACCTTGCTTTATGGATTGAATGTCTCTATTAAAGACACCTTATTTAATAGATATTGTTGATTCACTAACATTGAACTCACAGCCAACAGCACTAACTCATGCCTGAATGAAGCTTGTCTAATACGTTTATTTTCTCCGTAAGACACATCACAGTCTTCTCAGGAACACTAGTGCTTTGTGCTTAGGTACACTAGACAAAACTTCAGCACTCTACTTGGGGGCCACTTCAAATAGTGATATAAAAAAAAAAAACCCACAAAAATGTGAAAAACATGGCACTAAATAGTCTGCAAAAAGGACATTTGTTTGCAGTGTGAAAACTAAAACAAGAAGGTAAAGCTTGGCCTTATTTGTCCTTAGGAATGCATGCTAGGCAACTCCGACTGTTCACCACTCTGCACATGTGCATGTCTGTAAATGACCATAAAAAGCAGCCTGAGTATTGATTTTAGGGTTTACGAATAAATTTTAGTCACTAGGTGAATTCACAAATAGGGACTCTCTAAGTAAGAGGATCGGCTATATATAGTAAAGGATTTGTTAAAAGGATTTGACCTGGGATTTGACTGGAGCTGGTAAAGCAGGCTCTGTAAGAATGTCGACTTTGCCTTCTGTGCTGGAGCTTGGAACTACCAAGCAGATGTTTGTTAGGGGGAGACGGATGAATGAATTAGACCCCATGACCATGAACTAGAGCCCGTGAAGATGGACTTAAACTCATGTCCATTCTTTTTGCCTCTGTCCTTGGTGGTTGTCCTTGGTTGTCCTATAGAAGCCAGTGTCCTTTGTCACAGAGCTAACCACATACACACCTGGCCCAGGAGTCAGCGATGCTGAAGAGGAATTCGGGGAAGGCAGGACCGGTGCAGTCCTGGCTACTGCCTCGTGCCCCCAGGTGAGCTAGCAGATAAACAACAACATGCGTGAGCTAGAAATGGCTACTGCTTTAATTTAGCCCTCCAAGTGTCCCACAGAAATTCCCTTTATGTAACATCCTGATCAGAAACACATGGTTTGAAAAAGAATTCTGGGAAATATAGTTCAACCTAGCCAACCTGACACATTACAGAGCCTCTACAATTCCCCCCTTGTCAACCTGGCAGTTACATACATCTCCTTAAACCAGACTCAGTCTACGAAGACATTTATGAAGTCAGGCAGTGAAGTCAGTGATACAACTATCCCATGTAGAGATGAAAACACACTAACCCTTTCCTAAGAAAAGGATACAGAGTGAGCCTCAGTGGCTCAGTCAGTTAAGCATCTGCTTTCAGCTCAGCTCATGATCCCCAGAGCTTGGGGTCGAGTCCTGCTTCGGGCTCCTTGCTCCAGGGTGAGCCTGCTTCTCCCTCTGCCTCTGCCTCCTTCCCTCTCTCTGTCTTTCATACATAAATAAGGAAAATCTGTAAACAATTTTTAAAAAGTTACAAAACCCCTGTATTGTTCTTGGCTGATGTCCATTCTTCTCACCTTTTGTATCCTATAATTTAAATACTGAGAGATAAGGCTAGTTACTGTTGATACATCTTACATGAGATGATAAATAAAAGAGGAGAGGAAAACTAAAATAATTTAATACATATATTCAAATCAAAATAAGAAAGAAATACCTATAGCTATTACATTGCTCATTTTTATAAGTGGCCATGTGGTTATAATTGGTATTTATAACTACCCTAATTCTTTATTCCCTTTGTTCTTAACAAGTACCTCAACTGATCATAGTTCTTGCCTGGTGGGCTGACCCATACCTTCATTCCTGAAGCAGCTGGAGGAATGAAGCTATCCTCCCTGAGTTAGATGGTTGTAGTTTTCTATTGACATTAATCACAGGAAGTACTAACAGGTGTCCTTGATGACTTCCTGCATTGCAGACACACTCCTCTTTATCCCCATTGTCTAGTAGCAACTCAATTATCCCTTAGTTATCAAGATCAGTCACTCCCCCAATATAGTAACACTCTTCCACTCCTTGTTAATTCAGTGGTATAAGGAGCCCAAAGTGGCAAGATGACAGTCTGAGCTTTTAATTCAATAGAATCATTGTTGTGTCACTTAATAGAAGCATTCCTCCCTATGGAATGAAGACTTTTAGATCAACAGAGCCTAAAATCATAGGAATGGGAGAAAACAGCTTTGCTAGTAGGTCACTGAGGGTAAGGAAGAAGAGAAGAAGCCAGTCACATGTCCATCCCTTCATTCCCAGACCTGGGAGAAATATCACATGTATTAAACGCTGATGTACGGTACATACCACACCCTAGAGTACATTGTCTCAGACCCACAGGGTGTTGTCACCTAAGATAGCACCATAACTGAGTCTTCAGAAAGTTACTTGACCGCTTTATGAAGCCTGCTACTTAAGTAAGGATAATGGGGAACATGTAGGACCAGTGAATGTTGGCAGACTTCAGGCTCTTTCTTACCCTCTTACTTGCTCTCTCTGATGGAAGCCATCTCTGTGTGAGGTACTCTGTGCAGAGGCCCAGGGGCAAGGAACTGGTGTCTCTGGCCAAGAGTCAGTGAGTACCTGAGGCCTGTCTACAGCCCTGTGCATGACCTTGGAAGAGTATCTTTTCCCCCCGATCCACCTTGAGATAAGTGCAGCCCCAGCCAACACCTTGATGATGGTGAGACCATAAGCCAGTCACTCAGTTAAACCACACTCAGATTCCTAACCCAGAGGACCTGTGAGCGCTAAATGTGTATTTTTAAAGCTGCCCAGCTTGCCGGTTATTTATTCCATAGCAGTAAATCATTAATACAGCAAGTTTAAACGTGAACTCTGGTAGTTACTGAAGCCTAAGTAGAAACAACCTTAACTTTTTTGAGGCTAAAGTCTTATAAGGTTCATCTTTGCCCTGATACCTGAGGATTTTGAAGCAACTTTCTAAAAAGGCACTAAAAAGTTCATCGAAGACAATTCATTCCTAGCCTGCTTCCCTGACTGCCTCATTAGACTTGCTGTACATTGTATCGGAGACAAGATACTAAGTTTCTTCTTTATCACATTTTGCTCACTGTATCATTTGATCACTAAGTTTTCTCACTCTGCAGCTTTTCACTGACCAATTTTCTTAGGACAGAATTTGCTACTCCCTGCACCCTTCTATTTCCTATGTGTTTTTTTTTTTTTTAAGATTTTATTTATTTATTGGACAGACAGAGCTCACAAGTAGGCAGAGAGGCAGGCAGAGAGAGGAGGAAGCAGGCTCCCTGCTGAGCAGAGAGCCCGATGCGGGGCTCGATCCCAGGACCCTGGGATCATGACTTGAGCCGAAGGCAGAGGCTTTAACCCACTGAGCCACCCAGGCGCCCCTTCCTATGTGTTTTTATTCCAACAAATTTGGCCTAAATCGGAAGGAGA